TGTCCATTCCACCACACACCCTCGTTCCCCACTGTCAGAATTTCTGGCAACAAGGAACTGAGGGTGTGGGGGAGCCGGCAGCACCTGTTATACTGCAGCATATGCATGCCACTGCAGGGGGCGCCGGAGCCGGTCCTCTACGGATACTGATGAGGGAAAAAACTTCCGGCACCAGTGCATGTGGCAAACACACACATCTAAGTTGCAGGGACATAAGAAACGCATCTTGAAGGACACCAGATACAGGAAAAGGTAACTGTCTTTTTCCAGTTCACTTCTTTGGAGCATGGGGCCTAACTCATTACCAATTATTCGTCTTATTTCACACAACATTCTACAGTGTGACCATCTTTTATGATTATATCACTTCCAACCCTTCTTGCTTCAAAGTTGCAAGAGTCAGGAGAAGATTCCAGTGAAAGAGGTCTGCTAATAGGTCTGCGGCAAAGAGCTGTCAGAGGAAGCTATTGCAATGAAACTGCACAGACAGTGTGCTGGGAATGTGCTTAAGCACCCCCTGTTTACACCTGCTGGGAATTGGGCTGCAAGAATTGCCCAGAGAACTGCCTCACTGGCGATAGCAATGGATAAGACAGGACTTCTGAGCATGGCAGGATTGGCCAAAAGGGCACAGTACGGGGAACCTAACAGATAATAATGAGTACTACAGGGAAAGAAGAATGTGCTTCAGCAGTAGTAGTTGCAGCGACAACGTGCTCCCAGAACTCTGATTGGTCTCAAGGGATTTAGAGTTTAATTGTCTTTATAACATTTAGCGATCTGCTGGCTTCATTAGATAGCTCCGAAAGTAGGTATCTACTGGTAACTGCAGACATAGTCTGGTATGGAACAGGACAGTTTGTTTAAATATCTTCTGTGCTTATTTTAAATGCAATTAAACTGCATAATAAGAGGGTTGGTGGCCTAATTATAACAATATAGTGATACAGTACTATTCCTGCAAACTTGGCTTCTGAAAGGACTAACACAAAAGTCCATTTTTCTTAGCTGTTTTGGTTTAGAGTCTCTCTCAAATGTGTACGCCGAGTACCAAAATCATCCTGCTGCCGCTACGTCCCACCAGTCAAACATCAAAGCCAAGAAACAAAATAGGTGAAGTGCATTGCTAAGCACACAGCAGTCAATCAGTTCTGCATTGACATGATGATACTTTTGCATACACTGTCCTAACAGCAAATTTAAGAACCTACATTGTCTTATTTTTTGATTTAAGAGTTTTATAATATACTGTTGTTATAAAGCTGAAATGTTATTCTAAACTAGAGCTGTGCAAATAACTGATTTTTTGGTGTGCTGGCAGTTTGCAAATGAGTTGTCTGAAAAATTGTATCAAGCTCTATCCTGACCATCTCTGTTCTCAAATGTACTTAAAGCCATGTGATCTCAGCAATATGGGTTCATATTTCCATGTATCTGTCAAATCACGTAATTTTCCTGCATGCAGTAGCTCATTAGGGATCAAATGGCTAGGCAGCAGTTCTGCAGAAAAGGACCTAGGGGTTACAGTGGACGAGAAGCTGGATATGAGTCAACAGTGTGCCCTTGTTGCCAAGAAGGCTAACGGCATTTTGGGCTGTATAAGTAAGGGCATTGCCAGCAGATTGAGGAATGTGATTGTTCCCCTCTATTCGACATTGGTGAGGCCTCATCTGGAGTAGTGTGTCCAGTCTTGGGCTCCACACTACAAGAAGGATGTGGAAAAATTGGAAAGAGTCCAGCGGAGGGCAACAAAAATGATTAGGGGACTGGAACACATGACTTACGAGGAGAGGCTGAGGGAAGTGGGATTGTTTAGTCTGTGGAAGAGAAGAATGAGGGGGGATTTGATAGCTGCTTTCAACTACCTGAAAGGGGGTTTCAAAGAGGATGGATCTAGACTGTTCTCAGTGGTACCAAATGACAGAACGAGGAGTAATGGTCTCAAGTTGCAGTGGGGGAGGTTTAGGTTGAATATTAGGAAAAACTTTTTCATTAGGAGGGTGGTGAAGCTCTGGAATGGGTTACTTAGGGAGGTGGTGAATCTTCTTCTTTTGAGGTTTTTAAGATCAGGCTTGACAAAGCCCTGGCTCGGATGATTCAGTTGGGGATTGGTCCTGCTTTGAGCAGATGACTAGATGACCTTCTGAGGTCCCTTCCAACCCTGATATTCTATGATTTTACAAGATAATGTACAAGCATTTAGGTTGGCCCAAAGCACTCCAGTAGTTCAGCTAGTCAGTCCTATTGCATTGTGATGACATGAACGGCTTATTTTCTGAGACTGGGTATTAGCTGTATTAGAAAGAATTTATTTTACACTAATAGAAATAAATGCTTATCTCAGAAGTGTCAGCATAAGGTATGTAAAATGAGATTTTCTATTCCTTTTTTGCAAAACAGAAAATCATGGCTCTTCTGTGTTCTTTGTGCGGTCCTTTGAAATCACTACTTTTCTACCCTTATACACTCTCTCCTCAAAGGACCTGTATCATATCAATTTTTGTTCGATGTAGTCTGTCTGTGCCCGGCTTCCAGAGCCCCTCAATGCAGCTCCAGTGTCCAAAAGAGGATACTAAATAGCAGTGAAACACTCCACCGCCTGGAGTTGAGCCGTTTACATCCACAGTCCTTGCTGACGCCCTAGGGAGAACGGACTGAACTAAACTCAAAGTGAAACTGGATCCCTCATGCTGACAGCCAGACACAGTTAATCTGTGTACTCTATACCCAATGTCTCCTTTTGAAAAGCAACATATTTAAACGTTGGGTTGACTCTTACAACAGAGTCCTTCTCCATATAATTCAGACTGTGAATATTTTTTCTAGCAGAAGAATAGTTTTGAAACCCTGGGGAAAGCAAAGAACATATATTTAGAAACAAGAGTGACTGTTAAATAGTAATTTCCATTATCCGTTTTGTAAACAATAATCATGCTGGTTTTTGTTTACAAAATGGATAATGGAAATTACTATTTATTACATATTGTAAAACCAAGGACTGGAAAGTCCAGAACAGGGAGATTTTTTTAATAGCCTTTCATGCTACCTTTTGTACTCCATTTTCATGGTGTATTTTAATGGCATATACTACACTAATTCTGGTTGGCAGCTTTTATTACTGCTAATTATTAACTAATAATTGCTACTCTTGGGAGCATGTCTTCATCATTGATGTGTCATCTTTCTAGTATAGTGCCCAGAAACTTTACATTTGTGACATAAAAATATTCCTAACCATATACTTTATCTAGATTTTTATTCTAGGTCCACCACCATGGTATCTGTGTGTTGGGGGGTTTTCATTTGTTTAATAGGTTTATATGTATTAAACCGAGATGGTCAGATTTTGATCACAGTTATACCAATGTAAATCCAAAATAACTCTGGCGTAATTGGGATCAGAACCTGACATTTATTCTGTATCATTACAAAGATGTGAATATTTAAATGATAAATTGAGGGCATTTCCTCAAAGGTAAGAGCTACAACCAATAAAAAACTAAGTATGAAGCGAAAGGCCAAGGCAAGGTATCATTATTACTATCTGTACAGCAGAGATACTCAAGTTATTATACTGATTTGTCCAGTGATTACCCTAATTATGTCTCAAATGTTTTTTATAATGGCTATCTTTTCACTGGAAGAAAAGCTGAAATAGTTTAGAGCAGCATAAACAGAACTGGGTGAAAGCAATTGATCCAACCATGTTTATTGTGGGCATAGGGAAGAGGACTACTAAGGACAATAACAAATCAGAATAACAGACCTGTGTACAGTCCATACGTCTACATCAGATCTTCTGTCTTACTGTTGGAGATGCCTCCATGCCAGTATAATTTAGAATTTGAGCTACAGAATGGTTCAGTGTAATTATCCAAAAGTACTTTTTAATCATCAGAAAAATTCCTGTATTAAAGTTTGCTTCTGCACATGGAAGAAGGCATTGCTTATTTGTACTCCTAGAAAAAATAGCTTGATACTTAACTTTTAAAAGATTTTTAGATTATACCTACATTTCACTGAAGCTGAATTCTAAGGAATTCCCCTTATGTATTAATTTCACCATGAGGACCACGGACTTAGACATCTTATTGAAAATAATGTACAAAAAAATAAAATGGCATGGGATCCTGTAGCAAGGCGATGACTCACTGGTGCGGCACCTCCTGCTGGTCATCCTGGGAATTAGCTCTCCAGAGTACCCTCTGCAGGCCGGTGTCCCACTTGCTTCAGGCCTCCTGTGTCCCCCTCAGACCCCAGTGCCCCTTCCCTCTGGGTTCTGCCCTCTGCAGTTCCCCTGCAGTCTCTGGGTCTCCCCCACCCCAGGGAACCCCCACCTTGCCTCAACGGCTACTGCCAGTCCTCATCTAGCCCCTGCACACTGGGGCAGACTGCAGTCTGTATCACTCATCATCGACAAGGAGGGTTTGGACCTGCTGCCTTTGCCTAACCTTGGGCTGCCCCTTTGCAAGCCCAGTACCTGCTTTAGGCCTTCAGCAAGGCCTGAAGGCTGGGGGTTTTCCAGCCTGGAGCGCCCCAGCTCCTCTGGCCTTTCCCCAGCCCTTCACTCTAGGTACCCTGGTGAGCTCCCAGGCAGCCAGGCCAGTCTCTCTTCACAGCTAGAGACAGAGACTGCCTGAATACCTGGCTCACAGCCTTTTATAAGGCCAGCTGTGGCCTGACTGGGGCATGGCCCCAGCTGTGGCTGCCTTCCACATCAGCCTAGCCTTTGGCTTGCAGCCCCAGCGCTCTCCCAGGGCTGGCTGTAACCCTGTCAGGCCCGGAGCGGGTGACTACCCCGCTACTGATCCTCTCGCTATTGATTTCAAATCTGTGCTCAGGTTATGTTTAGTCTTGTGGAAGGAGACTAATTGAAAGTATTGCACTTATGAATGATGTAAAAAGGCTACAGAGAATCAGTTCTACCATGACAGATTCCCTTCCACTAAAAAAAACCCAACCTTTTTATAAAAGATATTTTTCCTTCCTGTATTTTCCAGCCTTATCCATCAGTGATGCATCTTTCAGAAGTAATGAATCATCGTGGATGTCATTTGCTTCCTTTCATATCCGACACAAGACTCACATCCAGCTACAATTTCAGCCTCTTTCTGCAGATGGTATCCTTTTTTATACTGCCCAGCACCTTAGCCCTCGATCAGGTAAGGACTTTCAGGGCTCTGTCCACAAGCACTGGGTCTATCATGCATGAGGGTTCTTTCTTTAAAAAGAAAAAAAAAAAACATAAATCTAAACAGTACAAATGTTCAGTCTTCATATTAGTGGTCAGCGTCCATTTGAGTGGCTGTGGCTTTTGAACTTTTCAAGCAAGCTCTTAAAAAGTGGCATAATATAACAAATTTTGGGTGGATCCAAAGCAAGCATGTACTTCTTTTTTGTCATAAAAGTACAAGTATGGGGGAGCTACCTAACGGAGATGGTCCAACAAATATACATTGAAGGATTTAAATATAGACATTGGAGCCAGCCCTCCAGCTGTTGTACGCTTGCATAGCTCCATAGGCTACAATGAAGTTATGCCAATTTACATCAACCGAAGATTTGGCCCATATTTTTAAGAGACCAAAAATAAGGAAATGCAGAAATTAGCTGAACTGAAGCTCAGAGAGAGTAAATGGAATACAGAGAGCTCATGAAGTTCATGGAGAGTTTAAGTATTTATTATACCTAAAGATGGATCAATGCTGACAAGTTTGCTGTTGCTAGAAAAATATTTACCTCAGTAAAACATGTGAGTCCTGTACTTGCTAGACAGGCAGAATGATACAATTAGAAGTAGCCAAGTATAACTGTTTTACTATGTATAAAATATTTTAAAACCTTGATAAGTTACAATCACATTTTTAAAACAGTATGGCATAAAAACTTATTTTCCAAGCCGTGTATATAAATTTTCAAATCTAGTATTTTAATTGTATATGGAAAATTATTTTATTTATATATCTTAACTTTATAATACATTTCTCTAGTGTCTTTCATAATTTTAGACAGAAACATTTCTTATCACTGCATAAGCTATTATTAACATTAAAGCACTGGTGAAACTTCCCAGCTGGATGTCAAACACCAAGTTATGCAGAAATAGGGATTTATGTACTGGAAAATAAATAAATAGTTGGTCATATTTTTAGATCCCTTTGTTCAAACCCTAAATGATTTTAAAATGGTCAATAGACACGCTCAGCCACATGCACAAATGTTACCACCTTCTCATTCCCTACACAGATGTCTTAATGGGCTATTGCCAGGTGAGATTGATCTGTTCAAATTATGAACCCAGTGTAGGTTTCAAAGAAAAAAGATGGCACAATGTGAAACACAAATATATTTTTTGCTAAGAATCCTTTGTTAGGCATCTTTGGTAAGTTTGTAATTAAAAAAGCAGTCTGGGATTGTACATGAATAATTTCCTCCCATTCAAACCAAACAATTTCATGTGGCAAAAGATATCTCAGAAAAATAGAATAAAAGAAAAAAAACCCCAATTTATCTAGCTCAAAAGAAATAAAAAAAGTCAAAGATCATGATAGCAGCTGGTACAGACAGAAATTAACCACCCCTTTGGTGGGATCAAAGGGAGTGCACGAAGAGATTCTACAGCCTTTTTAAGTTAGGCTGCAACTGGTTAGCATGAACATGCCCTGTTTCTATTGCTATTAGTGAGAATGTTTAGTCTGTTCTGGAGAGAACATTTCTTAAAACCATCATCCTGAGCCATACAAATTTCATTTCAAATGTTTTTCCCCCAAAATACTTCCCTTTCCTCTTAACAAAAGTTGCTGTCTATGGAGTAATTTAATTGCTTTACAATTTTCATACCACTCATTCTCGTTGCACTGAAGTTTTGAAGGGTTTCTAAAAAGCTAATCTTGCAAGCTCTTTACATATGCCTTCACGTAATCCCGTCAAATCCAGACAGAATTAGACTAATGAAAGACTCAGACGTATTCTTAGCAGCCAACAGATGTGAAAGGGCTTTCTTTTGCAGATTAGTTTACAAAGCACTTTATATAATGCCTTTTCTTTTTACCTAGTTATGTAAGATTTAATAAATGAATTGGTTGTACAAAGCACAACGCACAAATAATTGAAAAGCATCTCTTTTCTATTCTCCTCTCTCACTACGATGGACTGTTCTTGAAAAGAAAATACCTCTGACTTCACAACTAATGTAGAGATGCTAGTGACACATAGGCTGTCTCATTGGCACAGTTGTACAGGGGGTGTTACTAATCTGCTTCTGAGCTTCAGACTGAGCTGCAGACACAGGCTTTTGTTGTCATACTGAGCTCCTAGAGGCATTGCTTTCACCTGTGCCAGGGATATTTTCTTAAGGATGGACCTGTAATCAAGATGGTCTCTGTTGTCTAGGTCCTTAATGTCAGCCAGCCAGGACATCATGGTTCTGGCAAAGCAGGTACTGGCCCAGACAACTAAAGCCGCTGAAGAAGATTTAAAATCCCTCCTGAGTCTTCCACCTTCCTGTCTGTTGTGTCCTTGTGAAGGGGGAAAAAAATCCCTTCCTAATGAAAATATATTCTTTTCTAGTGATGCCACCACAGCATCTACCTTTGGTATATCTGTAATTTGAGGGGGGGGGGGCAGGAGTTGGTGCTTGCATCTTTTAAAATTTGATTGCATGTCTACTTATAAGGCATTTCCTCTAATCTCTGATTACATCTTCAAAGGAAGAGTGAAGGAATATTTCTGGTTTGGGCTGAGATTTAGCTGATGAGACTTTGCCCTTTGCCTTCTCATCTAAAACCTCATTGTCAGGCTGGAGCTAAACAGTGGACACTATTTTCCTGTACCCTGAAACAAATTTTGAGGGGAGCTAAGTGGAAATGGGGTGGGGTAGAGAGAATCCTTTCCTGTTGGTTTTTTTTTTTTTCTGGTCATATTCTGAGCCTAAATCAGAAAGCTGTCCTCCCTCACTAAAGAAGGTGGAGTATGAATACATGGACAAGTATTGCTCAGCCTTTGAATATGTTCTTTCCCTTTGTGTGTTTCCAAGATTTGTGGGCTTTTTTTCCCCTTTTTCACAAAGTTCCTGTATGGCTGTGGCCAGAGCAGGGTATCTTTTGGCTTTTATACCAAGAGCCTTAATCTCCTTGGCTATATTTCCTTCTGCGGCCTCCTCCTCTGGATCTAAAGCCTACATTTTGGGTGGGCGTCTTTTCATAAGAATCCTTCTCTCTTCTTGGGAAGAAGGAGAGGTTGGCAGGAGTCCTGTTTCTTTCCCCAGGGTGCTAAGAAACTATGTAAGAGTGGTGGGAAGCAAAGGGGACTTTAAGAGGCTTTTCCTTGCTGATTTGGGTTGCTGCAGAACTTACCCCCCAGGAATTTGGTTGAATAGTATCCCCCCAGACCTTCTCCCTGAGGCTCTCAGAGCACACCTTTCTGCAGTGGCTACATGAGAGAAGGGATGCCCTGAGAAGCTGGTCTGACCTTGAACCCCATGTCTCATGACAACAGATAGTTCATCCTTTTTTGAGCCTGCAAAAGCTGCCTCATAGGTAGAGCACAACTGTGATTTAGTCTAGCATTTGCAGGTCTGCTGTGCTATACCTGAGAGGGAACAGAAGAGTCCCCCAGGAGAGGCATTGCAGCAGCAGATCCAGGTCGTTGAAACCAACATGCTACCAACTCAGGGGAAAAGGAGGGTAGAGCTTGCTGCTCTCTGAAAGGCTTTTACAAAATCAAGGTTGGCAAGAAAGCTGTTGGAAGCAAAGCAAACTGCCACTGACCTGTGCCACAAAGCCAGATGTTCTGGCAGGCTCCATGAGAGGGCATGGTCAAGTACTGACTCCATGCTGCAATGGTGAACTGCTTCCAGAAATAGCAGAGAGACGAGGACAGCTCATGTGGAGAAGTGCAGGAGATGCTGGGCTGCAGCCATAGTTGATCGAAGCTCACTTGTAATGGGGAGGAACTAGAGGAACAGCAGGGTGGGTGCTCTGCAGAGGCTGGTACTGAGACTCAGCTGGAGGAGAGGAAGTGCCAGCTCGAAACTGGAAGGTAGAGGGCCTGGCAGTTTGTTCCTCTCTCACCAGCTGCAGGGGTAGCTGGTCCCAGCCTTACCCAAATCACCCTGGTTCCTACTTGCTCTGTAAACCAAGGCCAGCCCTGTGACAGCCACTTCAGCCCCTCTGGATAATGCTCTTGCTTCTGTCTCCCCATACAGGTAACATTGGGTCCCAGCCTGTATAGTGGAACAACTAGGGGGGCAAAAATATAGATCAGCCCACACAATATTTTCAGTGCAGGGATGCTAGCCCCCACGGTCCCTCCCCATTCCGCCACACCTGGCAGTAGTTATTTAATACAGCATGAGGAGCTGAACTGTCATGGTAGGGGAAAGCTGATAGGAAGATATCCTTCTTTACTGCACCATTGGTCCAGCCTTCCCGCCCCTGCACAGATCCTTCTGGGGGAAGGTCTCCATGTGGCAGGGGACTATTCACAATCAGGCCATGGGATATTCTTACTTTATTTTAAGGATTTTTAGAAACTGAGCATTAACTCTATGTGCTTTTGTATACACCCAGAACACGCTATTACGCTTCATTAGGGTGCACTAAAACCATAAATAAAGTCCTTCCATAAGTGCCCACTGCCTCCCTGATGGACTTATATTTTCACAACAGCCTACGCTAAAACTTAACATTGCTCTGGGTGGGCTGTTCATTCAATAGTTAAACATACCAGTGTACAGTTTGTCTCTTGTAGGCCACTGGTTTGAATCCAGGCTAAGGGATAAATGGCATTGCCCCATGATAGCATGAAATAAAGTTTTGTTATTCTAATCTGATTTTCTTTGAATGTACATTACAATAACCAGATAAGCGGTCAGCAGAGGGCAAAGATTGAGTGGGCACGTGGAGACAGTCCTACCTTTGTAGCCTTAGGGTATGTACGCTTTGAGTTGGGTGAGGTGATTCCCACCTTGCAGTCATACTTGTGCTAGCTCTCGAGTTAACAAGCTAAAAATAGAATGCAGCTGTGGAAGTGCAAGATGAGGAACAAGCTAGCCGCCTCAAGTACATGGCCATTGAGTCCCTAGTCACATACTGGGGACAGCTAGCCTGTCCCCATTACATGCAAGTATGTCTCCTTGTGCTGGGAATCGCACCCCAGCTTGTAACACAGACACCCTTAGAAGTAGTCTTAAGCAGGCTTAAGACCCATGAACGAGGGTAGGGAGAGGAAACACTTTTAGCTCTCGGAATGCACTCTTTGCTTCACTTTTTTCAGTCCCCACACCATCCCCCAAATACTTGAATCCCAGTAAAGGAACAAATGGCCAAATGAAAACTGATGGCAGGTCAAATATAAATTTTATATTCACCTAAATATGCTTGCCTCTAGTTCAGTGTAGTTCAATTTGACAATCTCAGCTACCACCCACACCATTATTTATGCTATTGTTTAAAGTTTAAAGAAAAATTAAGTCACAGCTGAATTTTTGCTAGAGCCTTTGCAGTTTTAAAAGATTTAGGAAAGCTAATTTTAAAGATTGTGTTAGAGTAGCAACTGTTAAGTGTTCATAGAATCATAGAACCATAGAATATCAGGGTTGGAAGGGACCTCAGGAGGTCATCTAGTCCAACCCCCTGCTCAAAGCAGGACCAATCCGCAACTAAATCATCCCAGCCAGGGCTTTGTCAAGCCTGACCTTAAAAACTTCTAAGGAAGGAGATTCCACCACCTCCCAAGGTAACGAATTCCAGTGTTTCACCACCCTCCTAGTGAGAAAGTTTTTCCCAATATCCCACCTAAACCTCCCCCACTGCAACTTGAACAACAAGTAGATCAACTTCTACCTGTACTTTTTTTATAATACAAGTAATTAAAAATTTTGAAGGCCAGCAAATACAGGCCAGAAAATCTCCAGTACTTGAGCACTTTCCCCTCAGATCAATAGATAGGGTAACATGCATTCTTTAGTTACTACAGGGTACCATGAGTATTATCGCCACCAGCATTTTAGTAAATACCCTGGGGGCCAAAGACAGGCCAAATGGGAGTGTTGGGTACTAATAAGGTATTTGGCTGTACGTGAACCTCAGAACTCTGTGGTGGCACAGTCTGATAGGGATAAGGAGATATGCATCTGCTAAATCCACTGAAGTAATGAAGTAACTCCAGGACAGAGAAGACATCTTAGATGCCAGGGTCTCCTTCCAAAACTTCTGTCAAGGTTCCTCCCCCACTCTGAACTCTAGGGTACAGATGTGGGGACCTGCATGAAAAACCTCCTAAGCTTATCTTTACCAGCTTAGGTCAAAACTTCCCCAGGGTACAAAATATTCCACCCGTTGTCCTTGGACTGGCCGCTACCACCACCAAACTAATACTGGTTACTGGGGAAGAGCTGTTTGGACGCGTCCTTCCCCCAAAAATACTTCCCAAAACCTTGCACCCCACTTCCTGGACAAGGTTTGGTAAAAAGCCTCACCAATTTGCCTAGGTGACTACAGACCCAGACCCTTGGATCTTAAGAACAATGAACAATCCTCCCAACACTTGCACCCCCCCTTTCCTGGGAAATGTTGGATAAAAAGCCTCACCAATTTGCATAGGTGACCACAGACCCAAACCCTTGGATCTGAGAACAATGAAAAAGCATTCAGTTTCTTACAAGAAGACTTTTAATAAAAATAGAAGTAAATAGAAATAAAGAAATCCCCCCTGTAAAATCAGGATGGTAGATATCTTACAGGGTAATTAGATTCAAAAACATAGAGAACCCCTCTAGGCAAAACCTTAAGTTACAAAAAAGATACACAGACAGAAATAGTTATTCTATTCAGCACAATTCTTTTCTCAGCCATTTAAAGAAATCATAATCTAACACATACCTAGCTAGATTACTTACTAAAAGTTCTAAGACTCCATTCCTGGTCTATCCCCGGCAAAGACTACTACAGACAGACCCACAGACCCTTTGTTTCTCTCCCTCCTCCCAGCTTTTGAAAGTATCTTGTCTCCTCATTGGTCATTTTGGTCAGGTGCCAGCGAGGTTACCTTTAGCTTCTTAACCCTTTACAGGTGAGAGGAGCTTTCCCCTGGCCAGGAGGGATTTCAAAGGGGTTTACCCTTCCCTTTATATTTATGACAACTTCATTTTCTTCATCCACTTGTTGAGCCTTCTGAGATCGCAAATGGCTCTAATATCCCCCTATGCACTTCTGTACAATGAAAAAGATGGAATGGAACCCAGAGAACTTTCATCTGAAGGAACACTCATTCCCATACCCAGATCACAGCCAGGCATGCTTGCAAGGTGGCTGAGGAGGCTTTGAAGCCCTTTTTTGAGGGTGGCCTCCATCTTTCAACCCACAGGGTACCCTTCGATAGCTCAGCAATAAAGCCCTTTGTTTCTTGAATGTCACAGAGCCTGAGGACACTCTTGTTAAAGTGCTTGCCATTGTCCGACTTGCTCCATTCATCCCTCATCACTTTCTCAAAGGAGGAATAAAGGGGTAACTGCAGCTTCAGTGGAGGATTTTGAGGGGAGAAATTTATAGAGGGGTGTAGCCCAGACAGCCAGAATTGTTATACATGCTGAGCTGCAGAAGCAAAGTTATCTTCATTGAAACACTAACATGCAAAAGCATGAAAAACTGATGTTTTGTCATATCAATATATTATGCCAGGCTTACCATGGAAACAGCAGGTGTAAAATAGATGCACATCCTGGTGTTGTACTTTTGTTTCCTATATTATTGTGCAATTTTGATGTACGGCTTTTCAAATGTGTATTCCACTTAGTTCAACCCAAAGATGAGAGGGTATTTGCATGGTACAAGTTGTACAAGGTAACAGGTCCAGTAAATAAAAATAAACTATAAAGCCATATTCTCAAATTTGATTTAAAATAGTGTGTTCATGGGAAAGATTTGGTGAGACTGGTATCAAACAACATACAAAGAACCATTAGGTTTAAACAGATCATTCTATTTTTGTACATGGTAGGTAAAGTAATTCGCTTCTCTCCCAAACTGAACTTGTAGGACATGTCCTGCACATTCCCAGCTATATGAACTATTCCATGACTGAGGCAATGAAACTCTGCCTCATTTGCTGCAGACTTATAAAAACAGTGCTGTTATTTCTTCTCGTCCCCCACCTCAATTCCTGCCCATGTTCTCCCCTCACACCCCCCCTAATCTCGTTCTGAGAAATAGCTGAAATACATATTTTAAAAAAAATACTGACTGAGGCACACACCCAACATGGAAAATTTCAGCTGGAATGGTTTGAGTCTGGTAAAGTTACAAGCAACTGAAAAGAGGGTATTAAAATGAAGTGTCAGGACACCTTAACTCTATGACCCACTCCGAGTCTCTATTCAAGCCTAACTTAGGCTAAGTCATTATGCAAGTTAACCTATTTCCCCTAGTTTTTTCCTACCCCCCCCCCCCACGTTCTTGTTAAACCCTGGATTTGTGCTGGAAATGGCCCACCTTGATTATCATACACATTGTAAGGAGAGTGGTCACTTTAGATAAGCTATTACCAGCAGGAGAGTGGGGTGGGGGGAGGTATTTTTTCATGCTTTGTGTGTATAAAAAGATCTTCTACACTTTCCACAGTATGCATCCGATGAAGTGAGCTGTAGCTCATGAAAGCTTATGCTCAAATAAATTGGTTAGTCTCTAAGGTGCCACAAGTACTCCTTTTCTATTTCCACAGGTGACTTCCTATGTATATCCTTAGTAAATGGATTTGTACAGCTACGCTACAGCCTTGGTGACAAGATAGTCATCTTACAGTCTCTTCAAAACGTGTGTACAAATGGAAGTACATGGCATTTCCTTAAAGCTGGAAGAGTAGATAATGAAGGTTACCTGGATCTGGATGGCATCAACATTACGCAGAAAGCCAGTGCCGGAATGACTGCCCTCGACATAAACACAGATTTCTATGTTGGAGGAGTGTCATCCTTAAATCTTGTCAATTCAATGGCAACAGAGAATGAACCCATAGGTTTCAGTGGGTGTATACGAGAAATTATTATAAACCACAGAGAACTAAAACTCACTGAAGCAGACCCTAAAGATGGTTCCAATGTAGGTGACTGTGATGGAACTGTTTGCGGTTATACAGTGTGCAAACATAATGGTAAATGTCAAGTTCAAAACTCAGGCTTTTCTTGCTTTTGTCCACAACCCTGGACAGGGAAAATATGTGAACAATCGGTTTACTGTTCACATAATATGTGTCTGCACCAGGCTCTTTGTATTCCTGATCCCATTTTATTTTCATACAGTTGTGCATGTACACTAGGATGGTCAGGTAGATACTGTGACAATGAAATCTCATTTTCTACTGCAAAATTTGCAGGTAATTCATACATCAAATACATGGATCCTCATTATGGAAAGAGAGACCTCAGATTTACCAGTGTCTCTCTAAATTTTACTACCAGTCAGAGTGAAGGCTTAATTTTATGGATGGGAAAAGCTGAAGATGAAGACAATGATTTCCTTGCAGTTGGTCTTACTAATGGGACCTTGAAAGTTGTGGTTAATCTTGGAGAAAGAATCTCTGTCCCTTTAATCCACAGTAAACATTCCCTTTGTTGCAAGAGATGGCATTTTATCACCATAGCTCAAAACCAGACTTCTATTAAAGTGTACCTTGATGAATATCTGGTTCTCTTTGAAGATATTGATCCACAAAGAAAATACATTGCTCTAAACTATGGAGGCATTTGCTATTTTGGTGGGTTTGAACTTGGCAGAAAAGTAAACATAGTCACTTCAGGGCTTTTTACTCAGCAGCTATTTGGTAAAATTAAAGATGTTGTACTCTTTCAAGATTCTAAAACAATCCAATTAATTAAGGCAGAAGGCTACAATGTTTATGATGGAGATGGGATTAATTGAAAAAACCCACATGAACAAATGAGTAGGCTTATGCTCCACTCTGTCTATTGGCTAGTAGTATTAGAACAAGACTCCTTTTTAGTAACATGCTTAGTAGTTATTACGCGCATGCTGTAACTACTTGCTTGCTTCTATAAACTACCTAACTTTTTATATGGTTGGGTGAATAGCACAGATGAAAAATGGTTAAATTTATTCATGCTACTAATCTCATTTCTAGATACTGTTTTGAAAACAGGAAACTTTGATTTTATAGATTTATTTTGCCTGAGAGTTTTGTACTCTGAACGTGATAGTTTACAAGAATAAAAGCCCTGAGAAATGTTTAAATTATGGCCTCCTTTCCAGCTTCTTTAGCCCAGCATTCTCAAGTATACTATATTAGAACAGAAATAGAAAGGCAGACATCAGAAACCAGTTCTCAGGGAGAGTGATAGAGTACAGGTTGCCTAGTTTTACCTGGAATTCCTGAAAATCAACTGGCAATAGTATACAAAAAATTAACTACATTTGCCTAAGTTTTATTTGCACACACACAAGTCTGTCGTCTACTGTCATCCAAAATCCAGTACTTTTCCCATTTATTTTAATACCAAAAAGTTTCTCCGAGTCTTAGTTTTTCTTACAAATGGCCTGTAAAGCATGAAAAAATCAGTCTTTGTAGAATAACTTCATGCACATACAGTGTTTCATAGGAAAACACTGGAATTTTCCTTCAGTGGAAGTTGAGATTTTCAAAGATGTCTAGGGGATATAGCCACAGATCTCCCACTGAAGTTCAATCCTCGTGTCAGCTTAAAACCTCAACCATAAAGTCCTTTTATGCAAAGTAAACAAGCTTAATTCATTTTGCAAATGCCTAGTTATTACTTTAGTGATCAGTACTTTAATCAATAAGAAATAAAACAGATATTTGTGTTATATTAATGTGCTCAGTTATGATATGGCCTCCAATGCCATTTAAATTTTTAATTTCAATTGATTGCTATTAATTTACTGTATAAATAAAATGTTTACATCAAAACAAAAATGGTGATTTCTACCTTCTTCCCTTTTATTACAGCTCAAGATCAAGCTCTCTTCTCATACTAGGAATTAACTATATATACACATACATATATACACATACAGTGTACTCAACTGCAGAGAAGAGAAATTACATGGATTTATTTCAAGATACAAAACCAGCCACTCACCAAGAATCATAAGTAAAAGGCTGGATGTCTGCTAAGACGACAATATAAATAATTTAAATCTATTTGAAGTACCCAGTGACATGTCAAATTTCCAGGCCCATTTCAGGATACATATAAAGCAGTAATGTCTCACCTATTCATCAAACTATTTCTTAAATATTAAGGGTCAACAGTCAATACTGTGGGACAGACACTTGCTTGTTCCACTTCTTTATGATGCTCAGGAAATGCAAAGGGAGCGGAAACTGCCCACAAGTCCTTTGCTGGGGATTTCTCCAGTGTGAGGTTGTCCTCAATGAGCACAGAGGTTCCTATACCTCCCTCTTCCCAGTAGACATATCAGTAACAGAGAGAAGAGTAGCTGAAGAATATTGCTTTCCAGCTACCCCCCTAATGGACTGTTGCCATTTAGCAAGTTAAAGAAGCCTACTAGGATAACTGGGGCCAAGAAGCAGGGAGGTGTAGCAGGTATATTAGGGAGGTCATTGGTTCTCAGCTTTTCCTCTTCCCCCTTTCCCAGGCTACCTCTTGGTGGGAGGGGAAGGGAGCCATCTATCCTGCTCTCTTCCCCCAAGTCTCCCACAGCCTAGCAGCTAGCCACATAATGGAGTAACCAGTCACTCTCTCCCCTTCTCCCACAATGTGATGCAGCAGGGGAACAGTTAGCAGCTTCTCACAGCACTCCAAGCTACTCCCATGGCTACAGGGGAGAATATGACAGGCAAACTGGGGAGGCAGCACCCTATACTATTGCTCTATAGTGATCAGACTTATTCAAACACTTCAGTTTAGTAACTGAAGGGCAGGAGTCTGGAAACAGATTTCCCAGTCGCCATCAACTAAAAATGAACCTATGTTAACACAGGTGTCTTTGAAAGCCACAATTGAGAGTGACACATTGGACACCACTGTTACGCTACATCCACTCAGCAAGTTTTTGAAAACGTGATGCAGCGTGGGCCAAGCTATCATGTCCACAAATTACCTTTTCAAGCAAACCACCTTAACATAATCAGGCATGCTAATTTTTTAAGGGTAGCAGTTCAGTTTCACTGGTACTGAGTTATTTTTATGATACAAACAGATTATGAGGTGGCTTGTTAGTACCAGCAGATTGGGAAGGAGACTACTAATGGGCAGATTAAAAGAAAGCCAATACAACAGAAGTCTAGGACAGATACTGAAATTATTTAAATCTTAACCCCATAAGCAAAGTCACCACTTTAAATTAGAATATAAATCTAACACGCACAAAACATTACCTACTTCAAAAATGAATAAAAAGGAATGGTATTATGCACATAGACCTCCAAAGGAAAGGGATATTTAAACTTAGATTTCTTGGCCGAGAGAACCCAATTTGCTGAAATGCTAAGCAACACTACAATGCTTGCAATTTATTACCACCCATGGAATTAATAGCCCAACCACCACTTCAATTATTAAACCAATTTTGAACAGAACGGTTTGAGTCCTGTAGACCATAGGCCATGTATGATTTTTAAATTAAGGTTTTAGATATGGCTTTCAGTTCCTAATTTAGTTGAGAAATTTCAGTGAATCTTCAGAGCTATTGGCCTAGGAATAATACAATAAAAGCTACAACCACCTTTATTTGGTATAAAACATTTTTAATTTTAACCTTATTTAATTTGGCTGTAAAGCTATGTGCAATGTCTGCAAATAGGAAGCTACTTTTAAATATATGACCAATTTAAAAAGTTAATTATTATGGTCTTTTAATCACATATCTGTTATTGGAAAGAGGCGGCTTATTCTACACCAAAGTGCAAAAAGCTGTGTTCATAGGTAAGGCAATGTATTCAAATTTCTTTATACACAATATTCTTAAGTAAAAATAATTAGACCAAATACTGCAAAATAGTGTGATGGACAGAATAATGTAATGGTAGAGTATTTGTTTTTCAAAAGCAGATTCAACAAAATGAGCAACATACTGTATTTTTTTTTTTTTTTTTTTTTTTAGAAAGTATAACAGACAGTAATATTTTGGTTTTAAAAAAAGTATCCGTGGATGCCAGTCACCATAAAATCTGAACTGCTCTGTTTATTAAAAGCCCTGACATGATTCTCCCCCTCCCAAAAAAAATCACTAGTCATGAAGTGTAAAGCAAAGCTACAAGAGTCATTCTACATCTTGTTTGTTATATTGGTTTAGTCTACTGCTTCGTACCTATGAAATCAAACACACAAAGTATGTGAGAAAGTTTTATCATTTTTAGAATCAAAATATCCCTTAAAATATTTACATTTTACAGTAAAAAGGATAGCAAAACACAAGATAATGTACAAGCTTAGGTATTCAAGTTTTTGAAGCATGAAAAATTATGGGAAAATTAACTGACTCGTAAATCATAGTTTAAAGAATATAGTTTAAATTTTTTTCTTATTAAAACAAGTGCAGTTTAAAGCAATAACATTTGGACAGCTCAGCCTTCTAATTTCTGGTCACAAACTGCTTCGGATGCTTGGGAAATACTTGATAACTACTGGAAATACTGCTGAATTCTTTTATTGTATTATTGAATCAATAAAAAAAACTTCACACCACTCAACATATGTTGTATTTTGTGTTGTAATGTATGAGGGATACTAAGACTCTGCTACAGTCCTCAAAAACAGTGCAATTTAAAAACAAGGCTATTATGTGAAATTCATTTTTAAAATTTACTGGAGCATCTTAAAACAGAAGAGAGCACAAATTACCAAAGGCAGCAACTATAATGCATACTTGACTAAAGCCAACTTCATCAACTAAGAAATTTCTAAGCCTTTATTGCATATTAATAAAAGAAATCTTTAAAATTTTGAATATACAGCAATGTAAAATTCTGAAAAATATTAAATTCCTATTTCTAGGGTTAGTTGGTATAATGTAAAAGAAGATGAGTATTGGTACACAGCTTTGTACCAAAACACAGACTTGTTTTTGCAAAACACCAACAATGAATAAAAAAAGATGGCACAATCCTAGCAGGCATTTTTACAAAACTTTAGGACACAACTAACAGTTATTTAAATAGGATTTTGAAAGATTGCCTGCTCTTTTTACCTTTTGCTTTTAGCTCTGTCATTGTGGTCCCTGTCTTTGTGATGTCTGTCTCTGTTCTTTTCACTTTCTCGTTCTCTATGTCTCTCCCTACTTTTCTCCCTCTCTTTATCCTTTTCATGAGACTGTTCTTCACTTTTAGGTTTATCTATCTTTTTTTCTGGATTTCTACTCTCCCTAGAGGATTTTCCATCAGATCCCCTATCACTGTGTGAAAGTCGTAACCTCTCTTTGTCTCTATGTCCTTCCTCTCTGCTTTTTTTCTCTCTCTCTTTTTCCTGGTTTCGGTCTTTCCGTCTATTCCTTTCAGAATCCTGTTCCCAGTATTTTTCACTGTTCCACTCTTTTTCATGTCTGTCTTTCTTTTGGTGATGGGATTCACTATAAAACCTCTGTCTATGCTGATCGCTTTTTCCCCTACTGAACCCTCTCTCTAAATGTTGTTCTTGTCTGCCCCAAGGGTCACTATGGCGTCTTTCTGGTCTCTTACTGTCTTTACTCTGATAAAAGTTTTCTGGCCCTGGAAATCTTGATTGTTTATGAGCCAGCGATGGCCCTTGAACAATGGGTCCAACATAATGCGGTGGCTGACCTGACAAATGAACAACAGGTGGCCATGGCATCATAGGATTTTGAGCGAAACCAAAACCTGGAGGAGGAAGAAGTGGAGGTGGTAGATGAGGAGGAAATCCAAACATGGGGCTGTTCTGGGGGGGGAAGTTAGGAGGTGAAAG